ATGCATGAAAATTTGGTAAAGTATACATAAACACTGGCAAATTATAGGCGTAAACATTACCTCTGGATTATGGTTGCCTTATTCCTGTAAATTCCACAGATACATACAGAATGGAAATGAAAATTTTAACTAAGTCATAGCTATCCCTAGTGGTATGCTTAAAAGAATTACGCAGTTATCTCCCTTAGGCTAGCTGTGACGTCACAACGTAGTTGTTGAAAACCTCTCATAATTTTTCTGTATGGACAACACACTCAGAAGACGTGTTTACAGAGTGGAAGTGTTTTTAATTTTTCTTCAAATTTTCAACAACTTCAAGACTCCTGGGCCCACTTGCACAGAGCAATCGAAGTTACAATCAATCTTAGGCCCCTACAATCAACTTTACAATCACCATACAATTGCCCTAATCCACTTGCACAAAGCCGATCTTAGAAGCGATTGTAAGGCGTGTATTTAAGATCGCGATCTTAGTTAAGATCGAACTCTTCAACGGTGGTGGTATGCAATTTCTTAAACTCGACTCCGTCTACAGTTGTCTCAAAGTCGCATAACATGCTGCCAAATAAAAGTGATACTGGTCCCAGCACACAATACATACCTCCCTCAATCGCACCTTGCATAATTTTCAAGAAAAAGTCCGAGAAATCTTAGAAGGAACCGACACGTGGGCGATAGCATATATTTTTCTACATTCTAACTGTCTTGATTTATGAACTGAGAATGTGATATTGCAACCACAGAAATACCTACCCATGTTTTATGAAAATACTGAAATACTGAAAAAATACATGAATAAATTTGGATCTAGATTTAGTGACTTAATTATGGCTTTCAACAACATTCAATCTCCTACTCTTAAGAAATACAAAAATGAAAGTTGTTTTTGTTTGTTGCCGATTTGAAAAAACACGCCAATGGATTCAGTAAAATATAGATAACTTGATCAGGTCAAATGTTTACTTCATAAAAGTCAATGGAGCTGTTGTCATCATTATTCTTTCCTCAAAGCATAACTGAAGGAAGTGATCGGTCTACTTCTTTGTAAGGCATTTTAGAAATTGGGAAGTACAAAAATGACAAATTTATGGATAACAACTTCTTTTATTTTATAAGTGTGACATTTTGTAACAGATTCTTGTACCATTGTCTACAAGGACACGTTGCACTCATAGACTCATGGACATAGATTTGTCATTAAAGTGATAGGACTTGCCAGCAAGCTGACTAAATGATTAGTCCCATGCATATGGTTTATCATAACCAGATAACAACTGGCGGCTTCACCTAACACCCACTCACTGACAAATACAAGTGTCATTTCCCAGAAATGTGTGGCTGCATGTAACTCTGTAGCTGGTCATTCCAGGGATTGTGGCACGTCTACCTAAATACCCAGCGCTGCTCAGGTAGTGTTTGTCACTTGACATGTTCATACAGTTCATCTGATTGGTGAACACTGATCAGGGGAAGGGAGATACAGCAGTTATCAGCACCTATGTGTACAAAAAAGCTTTGTTTCATATTGGGGATGGGTGCGAAACTTAAATATATTCACTCCTGTTCTGTCCTGAATGGCAGTGGAAGGTGTGTACAGACAGCTGTGTTCATTTAGCCAGTTGGTTTGCAAAATTTAGCTTCTGAAAACGGAAATGGAAACCGGATATCGGTTATAGCGTCTTTTATAGAGACTTTTATAGCGTAAGAGATTGGTCTCTTATGAAAATGGACCGGAAGGCAAGGTTTCTGGATATCTGGGGTCAGGGTATCCGAGGTCTCACTGTAATTCTTGTATATGTTGCTCAGTTCTAATATGTCAAATGTAAAAGACGATCACCTTGGGTACTTACATATGTACATATTGTGTGAAGCCCTGCTGTCTCAATGCTGGAAACTGTCAGTAAATGAGGTATTTCAATCACAAAAACTATTCACCCGGGATAGATAATCTATGACATAAGTTAATGTAAGATAATTCTTAGACTAGCGCTACGTCAATGAGAATTTTCATAGAAACAACCACATTTAAATTGAAAAAGAGCTACAGTGAGATGGAGATCCTGAACCAGGGGAAAGTATATTTATTTAGGACTTTAGCATTACAATAAGGGCTGGAGGGGAAGGAAATATATTGTTTCCGGGAGTGTGAAACAGACTAGAACACTCTTTACAACCATCTAATTGTTTGTCATTGTTCTCTGTTGTTTGGTTTTCACACTGTTGATCACTTGTTTGTCTGGTTTTGATTCTGTTATTCAGTTAATATATCTCATGGATGATGATGGTTTATACTCACTTATACCCATTCACACACAAAGACAGTTATTATTCATAAAACATATGATGACCTGATTAAAACTTTAACAAAATGCATGAAAATTTGGTAAACTATACATAAACACTGGCAAATTATAGGCGTAAACATTACCTCTGGATTATGGTTGCCTTATTCCTGTAAATTCCACAGATACATACAGAATGGAAATGAAAATTTTAATAAGTCATAGCTATCCCTAGTGGTATGCTTAAAAGAATTACGCAGTTATCTCCCTTAGGCTAGCTGTGACGTCACAACGTAGTTGTTGAAAACCTCTCATAATTTTTCTGTATGGACAACACACTCAGAAGACGTGTTTACAGAGTGGAAGTGTTTTTTAATTTTTCTTCAAATTTTCAACAACTTCAAGACTCCTGGTCAGTAGTGTCGCATTGGTTGATGTTTCTGACAAATCGCATTCTATATTTTGTGCATATTGCTTGCTTTTCATCTAATTTTCCCGCCAAAAATCATAATGTCTAGCACGTGTCTGCAATCTAAAAAATTACTGATGTAACGATTTACTGATGTAACGATGGATACAGACGACACTGCAGCCATCTTCCGGTCAGCTGCTGATAAAAAGTGAGTAAGCCAGTAACGGTTTTACTCTCCTCTGAGGCTCTCTCCATTAGTTTTGTTTTTGTCTTTAATATATGCTGTATGCATGAGCTCAATATTTTTAGAATATCCACGGAAAGAGTATCGTAGCAAGAACTAGAAAACTTAAAACAGATACAATACTAATATTTGATATATTCATACGAAAGTTCTGTGCAGCGTGACGCCATGCGAGATGCAAAATCATGGAGAACGACACAGGCAATTATCGGCATTTCTGACTTTTTCGATGAAAACAATAAAAACAAACAACCATACGCAGATAGTCAGAATGTTTCCGATTACTTACATCATACATTTATGGACAAAGGTTCCCGCGCAAAATCGTGGGCACCCATATCCACGAAGCCGCCATTTCATGAGAAATCGGTCATCGGTAGTGATGTCATACATCAACATTGTTGGACATATGTGGCAATTTCTTTGAGGTGAAGGTCGGTTGAATAAGGGTAAACACAATCACACTTTCCTGCGGATTACACTTGTATCATTAATGTATACTTTGCGTATCGTTCACATATGGTTTCATGAAACTAATTTCATTATCAACATTTAGTATTTTAAACCTAAGTAAAACTGACATAATAAATAAAAATTATTTATTTATTTCATGACATGAATATATGCACACGTTTTTAAAGGATATGTCTTGTTCATTGAATGTGTTCATGTTGTGTTATAGACAAAACAATGGCGTATAATCATTGGCCAGGTGCACGTTTATCACAAATGTTTTGAGTATCATTGTTTTCGATAATTCCGTGAACAAAACATCACGAAAATATTGTGTCCTTATTCACAGCGAATTCTCGCCAAGTGATCTGAGTTACAATGAATTAGTATGAAGCATACCGGAGTGAGGCCCCCTTATATTTATAAGCGTGTGACCTTTATTTAGCCATTTGACGTCATAGGGGAAAATCCATTTTCAACACATATTGCGAGTCACTTTTAAGATTGAGTGTATAACGTTATACATAAGCACACAAACTAATTTAATACATACCTATGTCATTCAGGTATCAGGCAGAATTTTGTTCGCTCACACTTTCCGTAAAGATGCCAAATTGAATATATAGTAGCACAGTACTTTTATCAGTGCACGATAAAAAGCAGAGAAATTTACTGTTTTTAATGCATAACAAAATTAGGAGTAACATTCAGCAGTGTCTACTTTTCAAACTGAGTTTATGCCATGAGATACGACATTTAATACTCTACATTTCTGTGTAATTTTATAGCTGTAGGTAGATCCAGTGCGGCGCAAACGAAATTCTGGCGCAATGTTCACTTTTCCAGGAAGTTTAATGACGCTCTAATGATACCCCAGGACCTTCATTAAGTTAATGACGCACTAATGACAACAGAGCATCATTAAAACATTAGTACAACAGAATTTAATGATACATTACTTAATGAACGTTTAATGGCACGTTAATGCTTCAATAAAGTTTGATACAACCGGGTCCTGATTAAAAACTTTAACAAAATGTATGAAAATTTGGTAAAGTATACATAAACACTGTCATTTTAAATCTATTTCACAAATTCTTGTACGTCATTACAAATGGTAAAATTCAATGGTTTATGTATTTTTTATGAGAAATGTAATATCATATGGAAATCTTCCTGTCTGTTGATATTGTGAAGTGATTTAAGAGTTAGGGAGGTTGATATTTTATGACTGCTTCCAGCAGAGTCATTATTTTCACTTCCTTGGTAAACTGACTGACAGAGTTTAGTTTTACGCCGCTTTTAGCAATATTCCAGCAATATCACGGCTGGGTACACCAGAAATGGGCTTCACTCCTTGGTAAACATGTCAACCTATGAACAGTAGAAAAAGTGTGACACGACACTTTATTGCATCAAGATTGTCTCATCCAGACTTGATTGTGTACAGGTCAACCGATAAATTTTATATATACTATATATATTATAAATTTTATATAAAAAAAAAATATAAATATATATATATATATATATATATATATATATATATATATATATATAAGGAAATATTGCTTGCTGTTTGAGTTACACAACATTCACTTTCTCACAGGTGTAGCTGACCTCGAGATGCATCGTCTGTCAAACTCCCCGAGGCCTAAGTCATCGGCCATGTATGAGTACATCGATACGGACTCACACTACGAGGATGTTCGAGGGACCCTGGCAAGGTAAGCACAACTGTGTACATTCAACAGGGTTAAACACTAGTTTTTATTTATAAAAAAGGATCTATGAAAAGGATCATCTGAGTTACCATTTTCTAAATGGCTAAAGTGAAAGAAAATATCATTAGTCCTTCCTGAATTTAACTGATTTGACTGATGTAACATTTCAACCATGCTTAACCGTTAAGTCAGATTGACTTGTCTGGTGGCTGTTGCCATTATGGTGGCCTTCTGTTGGTCCTTTAGGTCACATGTTACCTGATCACACAAACTGTATTCCATCAGTTCACTTATCTCATTGTGCCTACATGTAGCCCTTGCCAGAGTTAGCTCCCTTCTTGAACCTCCAAAACTTTTCAGTCTGCACTTTTCTTCGATTTGATTGTTTATTGTTTGCTACATGGATGTATTTGATGCAGCTGATGTCAAATATGATGAGTTAGTATGGTGGTGTGTGTCATGGTGATGATAGGGCACAGGTTGCTCAGTTGTCTAAGGAAAGCCTATGAGGCTCAGATTCCAAATAGTGATATAATTGAAATTCATGGTGATGGTGTCTGATTTCAGGAGTGTGTCACAGATGCCTAATGGAGGCCATGACATGAGACAGTCAGTCGTGTCAGAGTCGCGGTCTGCTTTGACTGATGTAACGATGGATACAGACGACACTGCAGCCATCTTCCGGTCAGCTGCTGATAAAAAGTGAGTAAGCCAGTAACGGTTTTACTCTCCTCTGAGGCTCTCTCCATTAGTTTTGTTTTTGTCTTTAATATATGCTGTATGTTATTGAAGAGAACAGCTTACCTGATGTGGGTGGGCAGTGTCTTTTGCTGAATGAAGAAGAAACTATCAACCACAAAATACAAATAAATACATGATGTCTAAAATTTTAAACCTTGTATATCAAGACTTTCTATGATGGCAAATGTCATTAGTTATTGCCTGTGTGTTCAGGAAGCGATACAACCCTCTGTATCAGCCTGGGGGTGAGTCAGCGTCATCATCGTACGCCCGCAAGAAGAAACAGCAGCAGCAGGCCAACCTGGAGCGCCATGTGCGAGTCCAGTGTGCCTTCCTCCTTCTCCTCAGCATCATCGCCCTGGCAGCCCTGGCTCTCAGCCTCTACCTCCTTGTCTTCCAAGGTCAGAGCTCCATCGTTGTTGGTGTATTGTCTGTGATAATGCTGCACTTGTATTTTAGGAATTTGTTCTTCTTGCCTGCCCTGTTGTGGGGGGTGACAGGGTGGCCTACACTTCTTAAAGCATTCACTTGTGAATTTTGGTACACATTGGTACAAAGTTTGAAGCCCATTTCAGGTGTCTTTGACTGTTGTTTTGGTAGAATATTGTAACAATGAGTGTAAGACCTATTTTACTCACACACTGGGAATAATTGATAGTATCCGAATATATTCTTTTCTTTGGCATGGCATGTGGGTTGGTTTGTGTAGTTGATAGCATGGACACAAACTGAAATAAAATTAGAAGTAATTGATATTATCTGTATATATTTTTCTATTCTAGGGATTAGTTGCCCTGGTTGTTTTTTTTTAAGTACACGCCTAAATGATTTCAGTGCATTATGTTTGGTACCTTTGCAGAAATAAATTCTCATGTCTCATCATAACATTATTTGTGATTTCTTTGATGCTTGGAGAGAGGATTTCTGAAAAGCTGCTTTCAACTTTCTGACTTCTTTTTTCTAGTTACGGACCACAACAAATATGTACTTCGCAGACTCGGCAGCCTTGAAGAGACTAATAAGAAACTACTACAAGAAGTAAGTGTCATACTTTGTCAGATCTTGAAACAGGATACTGGATACATTTATCACCATATACTATTTACACTTTGCTAAGGATCAGATCATTGATTCAACAGAAAACTATGATGTGGGGTCAAATTTGGTTTTAATATTCAAGCCTATTGTAAGCATGGGGCCAAGTTTTCAGTATGCCATTTCATCTGGTGGATCCCATACCTGCTATTGACAGGTGTATTTTTTGTGATCCTTAGCAAAGTGTGAGTAGTATAGTATAACAGTATCAAATATCATCCATCCATCCTGTCACTGGATTGTCTGGTCCAGACTCGATTATTTAGCTGGAATATTGCTGAGTGCGACGTAAAACTAAACTCACTCACTCCATCCATCCACACAAACCCATCCATCCATTTCATCATCCATCCGTTCATTCATTCGTTCATTTATTCATTCATTCATTCCATGTTCAACTTAGAGAAGCTGAGGGACTATTTAGGTTTGTTGTCTTTTTTCAAAGTACTGATTACTTTGGTGATAAGTGAGCATCCAATTAATTTGTATCTGGGATGGATGGGAATTTTGTTTTGGGAACAATATTTTCTTTTGAGCCCCATCATAAATCTATTCTTTATCTGACTTTGTTACATCAGATCCGTGAAGGTCTGAGGCGACTAACAGAATCGGTGGTCAGGCTCACTGACTTGCTGACAGATCGCCACAATATAGCTGGAATATTGCTGAGTGTGGCGTTAAACTAAACTCTCTCACTCACTCACTTTGTTACATCACACCAGGATACACACAGGTGTCAGTCTGCCACTTGATTGTTTAGTTTCCATGTGTCTTGTTACAGTATACATAAAGTTGAACATTGGTTGTATCGAAACACAAATTTACACATTATATATATAATAAGATCTAACTGTAGAAGATCACGTTCCCAATGTTTCCTACATGTAGAAGGACACCTTCATGTTGCTCATGTTTTGTGTCCAGAATGAAGCACTCATGGTGATTGTGACAGCAGCTGGCTTCAACACTTCTTTGACATCATCACCACTTATTAAAACTGTAAGTCATGTTATTGTTCTCACATACTAGTTGCTATCAGAATAGTGTCTCTAGGTCATGAGTCCTGTTATGGTCAATGAAGCTGAATAGTTCTCCAACTTTCTGCACAATTTAATGGAAGCATACAATTTATCAGTGCTTGGTGATGTGTTGAAAGTTGGATATTCTGTCACTGTTGTCTTTACAGAAACATAGAAACACCTAAGTGAGAGAAAAATGTTTGTTCTGTTTATTAGGTTTTGAAGTAGCTGGAAACTTGACTGAAGATTTTCAAATTATTTTTTTTGACAAGGAAATTGATTGAAGCAATGTAATATCAGTGATTAATACTCTCAGTGATATTGATGGATCAACTTCACTGTCCTATTGTTGGAATTATGAATCAAATTAGTATGAAATCTGACTCCTTCACTGATCAAGTCATCATCTTTCCAGCTGACTAATGCCAGTCAGACAGTGCTAACATTTGAGGAACAACTGAACAGTCTGGATCAACAGATGACCTTCACCCAGCAGAATGTTTCACAGACGTTGGACTACTGGTCGGCCTACTTCAATGAAAGCATTGCGAAGACCCAGAAGATGCCAGGACCGCAGGTGAGATGAGAACATATAGAGTTTGTAATAGCTTAATTTATTGCTGTACACTATGTATTACATTGTAATTGTGATGAACAATATGATATATTAAAGTTTGACAATTTGCTCATTAAGAAGTCATCTTCCAATCTCAAACTCAAGGACTGGACACCCAATACAAACAAGCTTAGTAAATCTGAGTCAGTTATATTATCAAAGGCTTAAAAATGTGTAATAAAATCTACCGGTGTGATGGTAAACTGGTATACCAATGTACCTAGGATTTAAACGTCACACGGTACATTCCGGAGTATTATGAAGTGAACCATTATATCTCATGACTTATCAGCACTCAGTGTTTGTCATAAAGTGTATACCTTTACCGGTGTCGGCCCTGGAAAGCGAAATTTCAATATTCCCTATTCCTGGTAAAGCGAAAACCAAAGTTGTGCTAGAAGTGCCGCGCAAGCGAATTGCTATGAAAACAATGGATTACTGTACTTCAGATTAGTGTGCGACCCCAATACTCGATCTCTGAGCCTCTTAACGGTGATGTTTTTAATCTGCGGTTAATTATAGTTGCAAATATCTTTCCGAATATACTATTTAAAGTTATACCCCTGTAGTTATTAGGATCATCTCGAGGGCCATTTTTGTATATAGGTACTATGATACCTTTGCTCCAGGAGGAGGGAAATTCGCCTGTGAAATATATTCTATTAGATAAAACCTGCACGTAAGGCATAGTTAGGTCACACGATGATTTGAACATTTCCGGTAATAACATATCTAAACCCGATGATTTCCCACCCTTTAATAACTTTAAACCATTCAGTATCGCTTGTTCTGTAATTGTTGACTCCAGCTCATGATGACACTCTCTGTTTGATTGTCAGCATCATCAGCACTAATTGAGTGTAAAAACTCATCTTTGTTCAAAGATTATAATAACCGATTCTCAAAGGCACAGCTGCAGTTGCCTGACCAGGGTGCCTTTTTTTCATTTACAATAATATCAGGTCGCTCTCTCTCAACCTGGAATCGCTTTAATTTGTCTTTGATTGTTATGTTGCAGTATACTATCTTATGCGTCTGAGATATGGGGATATAATAAAGGCTTAAGTATTGAAAGGTTGCATTTGGATTTTTGTAAAAGGTTATTAGGAGTTAAGAAATCAACATGTAATTCCATGGTTTATGCTGAGTTAGGTCATTACCCGCTCGTATTTAAAAGGCAATATAGCATGATTGGTGTAAGCTTCTTGTGACCTATCAGTGAACAGTCTGTGACTCAAACATTTATTGTTACTTATTTATTAAATTTCTACCATGACTACGGTATCAGACGAACGACTCACATTTCCTTGTTTTTCTAATCTATTGAGAGTCCCGGGAATGCTAAATTCAGTGTTCACTGTAGCTTGACCGTTCCCGGTAAAGCATCAGCTAAATTAAGGAGGTTTGGTCCAGATTTCGCTTTCCCGGGGCCATAACCCCCTTTACCTACTGTTGGAAAGAATAAATAAATTAAGCATTTAAAACGAAACACGAACATATTCCTCTGATTCATACTCAAGTGACCGCCATATAGCTGGAATATTGCTGAGTGCGATGTAAAACTAAACTCACTCACTCATACTCAAGTGATATATACCTTTGATATGTTATATTGTTTCTGCACATGTGTCACTAATACTCAAGACAGAAATATAAAACCAGGAGATCAATAACTGTTATCGGTAGACTTCAAAATGACGAGTGACTTTAAAATCATCAAAAATTCAAAAGCTGAGGGAGACATGGATAGATCATAGATTGGAGAAAAATATCATCTGCAAGTTGTGGAATCATTAAGTGAATCATATGTACCGGTACTGCAGACTGAAAATGTCACTTGTTGAATTTGTTGCCCATTGAAAATAGCAAAATCAGGGAATATTTCTCGCACTGAGTGTTATCACCAAAATATAAACCCAGTGCTTCCTATGATGTTTGGAAACTTTACATCTCAAAAGGCCAAATTGATAACGGAGAAAATTGCAAATTGATCTTTTGTAAAAATGATCAGACAGTGTTTATGAAAGTTGCTGCACTTGTTGTTTTACTGTGTGGTAATAGAATTTTCAGTTGGTAGTTTCATTCCTGACCACTGATTATGTACTGGTATGTCAGTGGAATATCTCTGTGGTCTCTTCTGCTCTAATACTGTAAACGATATATTTTTACAACTATTTAGTACCTCTAGAGGTTTTTTTTCCCAAGAAAAAATTTTAGCAGGTTTTATTTTTTTCAACAAAAAAATTTATACACCGCTAATAAACCTGTCATTCATTCAGTCTAGCCACGCCGCCTCTGAGTTGTTACCATAACACATCAAGTTTGAAGACAGAAATCTACGGAATCTTAAAATGACGACTGATAGTAGCATAAAGAATCATACTTAACTGTCGCTGTAATGGATTTCCCAAAACATAATTAAATAATGAGCCAAATCCCATCACGAATTAGCTTAAAACAGCAATGTGTGTTGTGGCCGCCATGGAAATTGGTCACATGACAGATGGTTTGATACAAAACAGATTACCATGAAACGACTCGAAAGAAATAATACAGCAGTATTTTATTTATTCATTAAGATTTTATTTACCAGTACATCATGAAGCTTAATAGTCACTTAACACTCAATCATCTCATTCACAACAACCCGCTTGTTTGAAATCACAAAGAGCTTCATATACAGTAGAAGTTAATTCATCAGATCGCCAGAATTCGAACATAAGACTGATGTGTTTTTCATCTCTTCCGTGAGTAAACGGATTACTGTGTACTAGTATATCGCACAGATAGGGATTTCCTGTGAGTAAGCAATAAACGCCGCCTGACAGGTTAAGCCACTCTGTTTGTTTTCACTGCTATTAGTGGCGGCCAAAGAGACAGCTGGCAGTTCCGGCAATTACTGATTGAAGAATAATTGACCGCGCGATGTAGTCTAAACTGTCAATTCCGCGAAAATTGCACCACGCGAAAATAAGTACGTTTACAGTAAGTCATTAGGTCAGGTGTTGGTTGTAGTAGGTGACAACCGGGGTTATGGCCCGGGAAAGCGAAATCTCCTTAATTTAGGTGTCGCTTTCGCGGGAACGGTCAAGCTACAGTGAACACTGAATTTAGCATTCCCGGGACTCTCAATACACAAGAAAAACAAAGAAATGTGAGTCGTTGTCTGATACCATAGTCATGTTAGAAATTAGATAAATAAATAAATATATACATTTAACATTAGCAAGCCATGGTGAAGCATACATATTATTTTCTAGCATTTGTGATAAAACATTGTGAATTATAGCTGACATTTCATTTTGATGTGCATTAGTAGCAAGTTTAAACCAAACTGAAATTATTAACTTTTTAATATATACAGAGATAGGAATTCATCCAATCTCTCCGCTAATCTAAAGCACAATAATCCGATGTTTTCATAGCAATTCGCTCTCGCGGCACTTCTAGCGCAACTTTGGTTTTTGCTTTACCGGGAATAGGGAATATTGAAATTTCGCTTTCCCGGGCCGACACCGACTACCGGTACTTGGTATAGTTAACAGAGAATCACGGCTCAGTGATCATTATTGATCAGTAGATCACTGTTGCTAATAATTGACAAAATAAATATGAAGATTCTATATTTATTAACAGTCACAAATATATTAATTCAGATCTTGACACATTGTCCCCAGGCGAGGGGCTACAGGTGCTAATTAGTGGCTTGTAACAACAGGGGAGTAGGGGGATTGGGGCTAGAGGAATGATGCGGATTAATGGTAGGCATTTTTCTGTGGTAACACAATATGTCATCATTCTTCATGCTGTTATGTTATGTGTATGCTGGAGATAAGCCTTTGTACTGGTTACAAGCTCATTAGGAAAGTGGCTTACATCTGTTGTTATAACCTTTTCAGAGTAAGATTGTGATGTTTGCTTCGTGTGGTGTCGAGGGTGGCACGGCTTCTCACCTGGAACCTAATGTCATCACCCCCCACAAGGTACAGTACAGGTGTATTTGTTCCGGACAGACCGCCAGCCGAGACAGAATCTGCTCCATCCATCTGCTGTTGTGTCCAAGAGAATCATAGTGTCTGTGTCCTTCCATTGTCATGATGATGGGAAATTCCAGAACTCTGCCATCTGTTGCTGTAGGTAGGACTTACAGGAAGCATGTTATTTTGGATCCTGAGCAAGACTTACATCACATGACAAGGATCCCTGGTTACTGCTTTGGATTGTTTTTGTTTATTTGATTGCCTCACTTTTGCACTGTCAGAAAAGACTGAAGCAGTGAAGCCTTATTTCCAAAAGGGATTCATTTAACAATTCCATTGGGCCTGTGTGTATGCCTTCCTTATGTTGAAGCAGTGTATAGTGCCATGGATGATACTGACTCAGAAAGATGAATGAGATGAGAGTTGCATGAGATGAGGAATACTATAGAGAGACAGTGCCTTGATTTATGCCTGGTCATAGGTGGACAGAACCACTAGTGTGCATGGAGTACATGAAAGTTATGCCAGAGAAATCACCTTGTACTTGATGTTCCTGGTGTCTTGATGAAGTCAGCCAACCTACAAGGCACTGACCATTTGCTATTCTGGGATTATTTCCTGAAATTATTTTCGGATTATTTTCTGAAATAACTTCACTGTAAATAGGTTGTGTGCCTCATTTGAACAATATGTAAATAATTGAAAACAAATGGTATACCTCAAGCAGTGAAATCTTGCAACTGCCTGAACAAAATATCCCTTGTGAAAATACAAGCCCCAACCTCCATCCCTTAATTTTAAATGGTCAGTCTGTTAACCAATTATACTAGCACCCACAGCTCAGTGCTAATTGATAACTGATAAATTGGAGAGGCTGTCAGGTCATAAACTCCAGGCCCCTGTTTTCTTACAGCAATTAATACTATGACTATGTATAACACACTGACATGGGATATAAGACTATAGCACCTCCTGTCTTATGCCTTGTAGAAGTCAACCAATGTATGCAAAAGTGGGGCTGCTGTGTTCTGCTGTTGCATCAAGAATGAATCTGAAACTCTGGTTCAGTACAGATTCTGACGTTACATACCCCAAAATAACCTGTATTGTCTTTATGACTAGGTGAATGCTGATGTGTGTTGTTTTATGACCGTCCAAGCAACGAGTGTCGGTGTAGCTTGAAGGGTAGGGACAGAGCACCAATGAATGTATTGGGTTCTATACCCTTCCTGCATACTCCAGCTTACCGGGTGCTTATGTAGTAACATAGGGTCTATACAGGGCTGAACAAGGTTGCTGTAGGGTAGTTACTATGAAATGTTCGTTGATGGTGGTTACTGATTTTCAAAGTGCTATCTGGTTGTGAGCTTTGAATATGCTTAAAGTCATTATAAATGTTTGTTTATTCAGCCATGTACTCATATACTGAGATTTTAATGTGTGTATCATGTGGAAGTTAAGCGAGTTGATAGTACAAGTAAGCTTGAATTTATACTAAATGAATTAATTATTACACTTTCATCCAAAAGTTATGAATATTTGAGATGGGAGGTATTTGCTTCTCTTCAAAGCATCTGTGAACATTAAATGTGGAGAAAAGATATGAAAAACATATTTTTCAATATTTGGTATATTGGGACAATAAAATGATATGAATTGGGGTGTTTGTTAGTGAGAAGGGGATGAAAATATATGCTTAGTTTACTCTGGGCTGTGGACAGTGTTTACTTTTGATATACATCTACACCATCACATGCTACTGCCTGAGTTAGTGCAACTGCCTTACTAGTACATTGTACTTAAGTATTGGTGCTTTATAAAAAACAGAAGGCTATTCTTGGTCCAAAGATCTCAGATCTTTATTGAGAAATACCAGTGCACCTGCTTTGCATATTACCTCAAACCAAATTTAGCCTGATTGTCTTGATCATGCAAGTTTTACATGACTGGATAAGCAAATACAACCTTGGTCAGTAGTGCCTTAACATTCTGCCATGATCAACTCTTTTTATGTTAATACTTGCAGAAAACGGGTGTTTAACAAGGAAAATAATATTCAATATTCTATGCACTATAGAAGTCATGTTTCTCATATGAAAGATTATGTATATAGTTCCTAAGTAGTCAATGGAGAGATAAAAATTGTAATTAGTGCAATATATGCTTGTGTTGAACACAAATACATATTTGGGGAGAGAGTTTTATGGATGTCAACTTCTTTATTATGAAGAACACAACAAATACATTTTCGTAAATATCGGCTTCATGGTTTAGGTAATTTCAGTTGAACTGTTACCATGCTGTGAATTTCAGAGATGTATGTAAACACTATCATATGTGTGTTTATTGGTTCATCTGTTTGTGTATGTCACTTGTACCATTTATTTGGTTTTACTTCCACTGCCATGGGTTAACACATATTGATTCTATTCCTTGTCAAATATTTTGAAATAGTGACAGTAGAAAGATTACTGGCAATTGTAAGCTTTAGGAGATTTTGGTTGGTTGTAAGCTTTATTATCTTACTCTCAAAGCAACTGGTTAGGTGACTTAATGACAGTGATACCCTGTAAACATAAAATCAGTGTGATTTTGAAAATATTTCTGTACTTTGAGTGTTCGATTACAAGCTGATAAAGATTCTGCTACAACAATGAAATAGCATTGTTTTATGTGAAATGTTAATTGAGTGTAAATTCACTCATCTGTCTTTGATGTATGTAGAGAAGCTCATGAAATACCATGTGATTTTATCTGTCACTTCTTAAAACCTTAGCATGCCTGACAGAGTGTGTACAAATGACTTTATTTGAACAGATTGTGCGAGGTGTATCTATTGAGACCTCTTAATACACAATGCCTTTATACAAAGTGGTCAATATAACAAGGTTATATCTGGGATAACATTTTCTTTGTAAAGTAAAAATTTTAGTATTTTTTAGTTGAGTCCCCTCCAGGATTTCAACCCATGCTCATATCTTCTAGAATAAGATAACCTGTTGTCAGGTCTTAATTTTAGTTGAAATTCTGTGACTCAGTTGGTTATATTGATGACTTTGTTTGCTGGCGATTAGGAGCTTGATGTGGAAGATAAGGGTTTGAATCCTGGTTGGGATTCCACCCACAATTCTTGAATAAGTGCTTTGTTAACAAAGTGTAATCACAAATAAGACATTTGTTGCTGTGATTGTTGTTTGTAGTATGCAAGTCACACACCGTGAGGTAGCGATAACGTAACTGTTTTCGGCAACCTTTTCAAAAAAAGAATTTATCTTAATGCTCTGTTGATGTCAACAGTCTGTGATTGTTTTACATGATGTAACTCCTTGTAATCAAAACAAGACTTCTTTTATTTTTCTTACTTCTAATCGTCAATTTAATGATTTTGTACAATTTATCTTATACAGAGACTATATATTTTTTATGACCTTGACACTTTGATATTTGCAGTTTAATAATGGAAATCAATACACCATCTTTTAATGTGTTTTTGTTTGTATAATGTACATGAATTACACATTTGGCAACATACTTATATTTTGTTAATTAATCCTCTCTTAAATGGCAGAATATCTTTTGACCTAATTACAATTTGTTCAGAAAGGTACAGAGTAAGGAGGTTGTGTTATTTTCATCTCAACCTTTTTGTCTGCCTCTCCAGTGTTGCCTGTGTGGACAATATGTCCATAACTAACATCAATCGTTGGGAATCTCTATTTTTGTAAACAACCAAAGCTATGATCTCTGATAGTTATTTTCATAATTTACTAAATAGTCTCAAAGCTGACCATAATATGTGTGTATGTGTAGTTTCCAGGATCTCTTTTGTCCAAGGTCATCAGTTATCTTAAGACTTTTAATCCTTTATATCAGAAAAAGTAAAATGAAATTTTTAATTTAATATGTCTTGTTAGTAAACTTTCATAGTGTACCAAGAGTGGTACCTGTTGAAGCAAATACTGTTACTATGGTATTTCTGTGAAATTTTTGCATATATGAGTCAGTGTGTTATGATCAGCTACTGTAATTTCACAAGCTGTACATCCAGCTGAGAATATACACAAGAACAGTGAGCATACGTTACATATGTAGTCTCACCTCATGTTTAATACGTTTTCTGCAGCATGTATATCAGGAAGTAAATTCATTCCACTTGATCAAATGGCAATCCCTCAATGGACAAGAGCAGCAATCTGTTATTGAACTGAGTCTGTAAGCATCATGTTTTATTAATCAAAACATCACTCAAACCCTTAATGGCATTTTATGTACAATGCTGCTGGTAATGCTGCACATCTAAGCACATCGATCGCAACTAACGTCTTTTATTTTTGTGGTTTACGTGACTAAACATGCTGGTATGCATCATATTTACCTAGAAATATAAGTTTTATTGACTACTATAAGATTCTAAGGTTGCATTATGCCATATGGTTGACCTTACCGGCGTTCTGACGACATCGCTTACTGTCCGGTAATTCTGCGCACAACTGATGCGCATAACATCCAGCTGGAGATCCGAAGTATGGAAGTGTATTAGGGACAGATTATTTTCAAACATCACTTCATCAATGTAAGGAAGAGTGTTTCATATTAAATCCAATTATGAATAATGAAGAAAAAGGTTTAAAAGTCTGAAGAAATTTTTTTTCATAAAACTGTCCATTTATCTGTGAATTACTGTTATTTACTTACCTTTAGTGATTAAAAGCCAGTCCCTTGTAGAAATGTCCCGATTTCAAGTGTAAATGTGGTAGCAGATGATGTATACCTTCGATACGGAAGTACACTAATGCAGCTGCGCAGAATTACCGGACGCACGGAATTACCGGACTCGCTTGTATGAATATTCTTGTCACAGGTGGGGACATGTTGGTCATAGGTGTATTCCCATACTGTAGGCAGTATGGGACCTAACCTGGTCATAACTCAGACTTGTTTGACATATGGTAATCATTTTGGTTACATTCATCATTTGAAGGACCTGAATAGGCAATAGGTTTTAATTATGGAAAGCATGTTATGGTTGATTTTTATGAGCTCGTTCATGGAAGTTATTGTATATGTTCATGTTTTATAGTAGTTTAACTTTTGTTCTATGAATGCTGATGAGGTTAGTACCCTATGTCTTGCTGTTGCCAGGAAGTTAACTGACTGTGAAAGTCCAGCTTCACCCTTGCTAAACTAGGCTGGACTTTTTGTGTTCCATTTTACTGGACTAAAGTGTCCATGCATAGCCCAATCAAAATGTCACAGAATCAATATTAGGTTTGTAAACAACATGCCATGCAGTGATCTTGACTGGGTCCTGCCATTTTGTTTGAAGCAAAGAGTGGAATCTGATTGGTCATTAAGAGGAACAAACACATTGGTGGCACAATGATTTTAATTAATATCCACTATATTCTAGTTAGTAGTAAGGCTAAGAACTGGACTTATGGTCTGGATAAAATGGAAAATGGGTAGCCTAAAGGTAAAGGTGTTTGTAACACAAAAGACCTGGGTTCAATTCCTGACATGAGTACACGTTGTGCATTAGCTTTGGTATTAGCCACCTAACATTGCTTCAATAATTCTGTCAGGGCACCAGATAATTTTTCAACATCAGGAGTACGTACTCCTTATTTTTTCAATACAGGAGTACTGGAAAACCTTAGAGTACATTTAGAGTACTGAATGGAATTTAATGGAGTACCAGT